CTACGTGTATTTTCACCATAAAAAAAGGTTGAGAAGTTAGAGGGTTGACATGTTGTGGGGTTGTTAAACAATGTCATAAAACAATATGTGTACTATGAGAAACTATTTGTTCTGTAAGCCTTCACCTGAAGTACAATAAAAAAAATAAAAAATAAAAAGTCACAGCTCTCCATTTATTATTATTGACAGTAGCAGAAATATTGTTAGTAATAATGCAAACATTTATTAGATGGGCTTCATAGATCTTTACAATATCACTAGGTGCAGTTAAGATACTGTGTTTCCTACTAAATATATCAACCCTAGTTCCTGTTTGGAGTCCTTGGGTGGCTCAAACCAGTAACCACTTGACTACGCCTCTGAGAGGCTGGCGCCACCCAAAGGCACCTCGGAAGACATGCCTGACGATCTGTTTCTGAAAGGTCACAGCCTTAAAAACTCTATGGAGCAGTTCTACTCTGCACACACGGGGTCGCCATGAGTCAGAATTGACTTGTCAGCAGCTAACAACAACAACAGCCCAGGTGGCGAAAGTGGTGTAAAGATTACAGCCAAGAAAACCCTATGGAGCAGTTCTGCTCGGTAACACATAGGGTCGCCATGAACCGGGGGCCGACTTGATGGCAGCTAACAGCAGTAGTTGTCACTCTAAAGTGCCTTTTCACAAATATCTACAGTGTATGATCTTACACATATATTTAAATGGAAGACTTTTGACTGAGCCCATGTCCTAAGTATCCATGCTTGTCTGACCTTGGCTACTTTGAGTTCTTTGGATTCCAGTTGTCAGGTGTTTGCTTACTTTTCATTCCACCTGGAAACACTGTGCCTCCCAGACTGTTTCACGGAGTCCTGATTTGTATGCTTTACAGCTTCTGGAGCTCTGGTGGTGCAGTGGTTAAGCACTTGTCTGCTAACCAAAAGGTCGGCAGTTTGAATCCACCAGCAGCTCCTTGGAACCCCTATGGGGCAGTTCTACTCTGTCCTATAAGGTTACTATGAGTCTGAATTGACTCAATGGCAGTGAGTTTTAATGCGTTGGTCATATGACTGAGGATCATGTAGCAAGTCCACTTGTTGCTAAAGAACCTCTTTGGTTCAGTGTTTGGACCATGCTGGCCAGATGATCATAGGCCCAGGTCAGTCCTCAGTGGACCTGGGTTCCAACAGGGTCTCCACACAGGGATCATTCACAGACAGACACCACCAGGCCAGGTCCCATGTCTCTCTCCACACCCCCTGCAGAATCAGTCTACTGACAGTGTAGTGTGGGAGAAGAGCATGGTCACTGGAGTCACACAGACCTGGCTGCGATGTCATCCTTTGCCACTTACTCCCTGTGTAAACTTGGATGAAATGTTTAATTTCTCTGAGCCTGTTTTCTTATATGTAAAATGGATGAGATGTGTACTTTTCAGGAATATTGTGAGAATTAAATTTGATTCCCTGTGTGAAAAACACATAGGCCTATGTCTGACATCTAGTAAGAATTCAATGAATGTATTAAAGAAAAAAAAAAAAAGTTAGAATTGGAAAATGAGGAGCCCCCTATGGACTGCTGTTGGAAAAGGCCAAACAAGCCCATCTCTTCCATTACTCCAAACAAATAGCATCATCTGCTAACTCCTGCCCATACTCATAAAATGTTATTTAATATTCTGAAGAGGCATCTTTAAACTGCGCAACTATTTTCCTATTCAAGCTTCTAGGTGCAACAGACAAACTCATATAAATTCAAAATATTTTAATCCAAATAAATGAAAACTACTTGCTAATCACATGACTCTTAGCTGGATGTTGTGCTAAAGGAATTTTGGAGTCCTTCATCCTAGCCTTGAAACTTAAAATCCAAGGCCAAGCAATGCTACTGTGATCAAACACAAAGGACACTGAGCTAAAAGGAAAACCTCTGAGAGAGGGCAAGAAGCAAACCATCTCCCACCCCCACCCCACCCATGTACCGAAGAAGGAGGCTGGCATGCCCCTGGTGGTAGACTCCCCTCAAGACCCTCTTGGGAAAAAACAACTATAGTCTAGGGTAGGAATTCAATATACATTCCCCAGATCCATGGTACTTCCCCAACAACACCAGTATGGCGGCTATGAGGATGAGCCTCAAAGACCGCCAGTTGCTGGGAACTTAAGTGACCAAGGGCTCCAGCTGCTGTGCTCTGAAATCCGTTGCCTCAAGGCCACGCTTCCCACTTCTCAATCATTGGTTGGGAGCACTAGGCCCTTCCTGGGAAGCAAGAGACTACTCTGACTGCTGGTTTTGGCTCAAGGCCTCCCTGACGGCCCTGCTGAAACTTCCTTAGACTGCGCCCTATCTAAAATGCATCCCCCAAATTTTCTTCCTTCTCTCCTTCACTTGGGGTCTGACAGCACTCTCAGCCTTCTTCATCTCCCTCCCCATTTTTTTCTCAGTTTTATTTTCTCCAATAAAATCCTTGTATATTTAACCCCATCTTGGTGTCTGCTTCTCAGAGGACCAGACTAATACAAACAGCACTTCACCTATATTTCTAACGATTATCTGAGGTTTCCAAATGAGTTCTACTTACGTATGCTCTTATGAAGATGAGGAGAACTCCATAGAACAGAAGTATGAAGAGAGAAGCAAATAGCACTCCATTTAGCAAGGTAAAATCCCACTGAGGAAAAATAAACATCACAAAAACAACTCAATTATTACCTATAAGGAATTTGGGGATGTTTAGAGATGCATCTTACACACTATAGATAGATACTGACCCATTCTCTAATCATTTACCCTGGCCAGTTCAGAGAACCATGGAAATATATTAGCCCAACCACTGAAAAATGGTACATGAAAAAAAAAAGTGTTATATTGACTGGGATTTGCTTCTAGAGGGAGAAGAGAGTAGAAGTATAGATGAAATGACAATAGCCATGAGTCGATAATTTTTGAAACTGGGTAATGGGTACATGGAGTTTTATTATTCTGTTTTATTTTCATATTTGTATGAAATTTCCCCTTATAATAAAAAAGGTACATTGAATAAGTAGGACATAAATTTGTAAGTATAGTATGATCATAATTATCCATATTTTTAAAAGCATGTGCACAGGAAACATTAATGGAATGAAATATACAAAGATATTAACTGGGTGACTTTTTCCCATTTGCATGCATATATTTCAATGAAAAATATATAGTAAGCTTTCAAAAATTTGTTAATGATTCTTTTGTAATTTTGCGATTTATTAAGGTGCTTTTTTGTTTTTTCCTTTATAAATCAATGACCCAAATCAGCCTGGGACAGATTAAGATTTTTTAAACAAAGGAGATATTCACCTTCTGGCCTGAAAAAAATTGATCACGCCAAACAGAATAGCCTTGAATTCAAGACATTTTCTCATAAGAGTGTTTTCCTAACTCCCTTCTCCTCCTGGGTGGCACAAGTGGTTAAGCACTCCATTACTAACCAAAAGGTTGGTGGTTTGAATCCACCCAGCAGCACCTGGGAAGAAAGGCCTGGCGATCTACTTCCTAAAGATCACAGCCACTGAAAACCCTATGGAGCACAGTTCTACTCTGACACACATGAGGTTGCCATGAGTCAGAGTTGACTTGACGGCAACCAGTTGTTGTTGGTGGTCGTACTTCCTACCCTTATCAATCCAAAATCCATTGCTGTCAAGTTGATTCCAACTCGTAGCAACCTATAGGACAGGGTAGAACTGCCCCAAAGGGTTTCCAAGGAGCAGCTGGTGGATTCAAACTGCCAGCCTTTAGGTTAGCAGCCAAACTCTTAACTACCACGCCACCAGGGCTTCTTATTGATGGAATAATCTAAAACACTGGTTCTTCCAGTGTGGTTCTCAGGCTGGAAGCATCAGCACCTGAGAAATGCAAATTATTGCCCCACCACCACCACACACACACCCTTACTGCTGCAGAAAACCCTGGGGTGGGGCCCAGCAGTCTATTTTAAGAAGCCCTCCAGGTGATTCTGATGCACACTAACTTTTGTCTAGAGCTGTGGCTTAGTGGTTAAGTTCCATGGCTGCTAACCGAAAGGTTGGCAGTTTGAATCCACCAGGCGCTCCTTGGAAACTCTGTGGGGCAGTTCTACTCTGTCCTGTAGGAATGCTATGAGTTGGAATTGACTTGATGGCAACGGGTTTGGATTAGTGTGTGTGTGTGCGCGTGCGTGTTTTCAATAGAGTAGTCACTAGTCACATGGGCTATCGAGCACTTGAAATGTGGCTAGTCCAAACTGAGATGTGCTATAAATGTAACATACACACTGGACTTCAAAAATTTACTTTGAAAAAATGTAAAATATCTCATTAATATTTTATTATATTGATTATATATTGGAACGATAATACTTTGGATTAAAAAAACAACCAAACCAGTTGCCATCAAGTCAATTCCAATTCATGGCTACCCCATGTGTGTCAGGGTAGAACTGTGCTCCATAGGGTTTTCATTAGCTGTGATCTTTTGGAAGCAGATTGCCAGGGCTTTCTTTCAAGGAGCCTCTGAGTGGGTTAGAACTGCCAGCCTTTTGGAGGTGGCAGTGGGGGAGATGACTGGTGAGGTGAAGTCAGCGACAGAGCCCTGTCGGCTCCGACCAGGCCCAAGAGAGAGCAATTTCTGAGTCATGCCAGTGGTGGACGTCAGCATCAGAGACCCACAGAGCACACAGTGACTAGAGGATTCAGGCAGCTGTGGTTCTGGAACATCAATGGGCCATAGGGTGATGGTACCCTTGCCACAGTTTCTGTCCCTGGCCAGTGCCATGAGCCCACACAACCCACACCTTCATCCCAATTCCCCCACCTTAGAGAGCAGGAGGCTGAGAGACTGAGCATTTTTTATCCACATGACACTATCACCAGCCCAAAAGAATTGTTTAAATTATGGGATCAGATTAAATTTAAACCAAACAGACATTTAGTTCATTTCCACCTTCCCGCCGCTAAGTGGAGAGCTGGAGCTCAGGAGGAAACTCAGCTTCACTGTGGACCTACACTTCCTCTGCAGCCCGTGGTTGTGGTGGGAGTGAATTCTGCAACCCTCACCCCATAACTTAGTCAGAAAAAAGAACTGTTGTCTAATGAACATTAGTTCAGCTGCCTTTCAGTCATCGATGTAAAGCATAATAACTGGAACCATCATTAAAATACTTTGCAATGTGATATTCATTCCACTGAACCCGGTCCATAGGTCACCTGTGCCTTAAAATACTAAAAAGTACTGCCATTTTAGAAGATTTTAAATGGCCCTAAATAAATCTATGCATTCATCAGAGGCCCACCTCACTCATTAACCAGTTGCCGTCAAGTCGATTCTGACCCCTGAAGACCCTATGTGTGTTGCAGTAGAACTATACTCCATAGGGTTTTCAATGGCTGGGTTTTTAGAAGTAGGTCGCCAGGCCTGTCTTCCCAGGCACCTCGGGGTGGACTCGAACCTCCAACCTTTCAGTTAGCAACCAAGCATGTTAACTATTTGCACCACCCAGGGACTTTCCTCACTCATTGCAGAGAGGCCTATCTGGCTGGTTTCTAACATATGACCAGCTAAGAGATGGCAGATAGTGATCTGATAATGAAATTAGAATTGAATCTCTAACTTTTGATAAATTTGACTAATTATTTAGTAGACCTTTCTGCCACTCTGATGCTTTTTCCTTTTTCCATGAAGAAAAGGCCAAAATTCTGCATCTGTATGACAAACAATTATGATGTATGCCAAACAATGCAGATAACAATGTAAGTTATTACTGACTAAGGAAAGCCCATTATTTACTAGAGGAAAATGCTCAGAACTGAAAGAATGGGCTGCTGATAATAACTCAAGGCACGGTATAATGGGAAAGGGGGAGAGTGCTGATACATTGCAGGGACTGCAACCAATGTCACAAAAAAAATTCTGTATAAATTTTTGAATGAGGAAAAAAAAATCTCAAGGCACATCTATCTTACGGTAGGAGACTCAAAATTAAAAAGGAATAGTCCCACATTATATGATATTTCCTGGGAAACCTTGGCACTTTTGATCCCTGGTGAACCGTACAACTTGTTAATTTTTAAGCTCCCTCTATCAGTCAGGGGCTCAGCAGGAACAGATGGGACACTCAAATAGGACACTTAGAAGAGGGTTTATTTATAAACGAACTCTATACAAAGTGTTCCTGTAGGGGAACCATAAGGGGCAGTGCAGTAACCTCGACTAGGAGCAAGAGAGCTATTACCACCCCTAGGCCCAAGGGAAAGGAGCCCCGTTGGCCCAAGGATTAAGCGATCGGCTGCTAACCAAAATGTCAGGCAATATGCTTCCCTTAAATTTAAAAAAAAAAAAAAACATTGCTGACAAGTTGATTCCGACTCATAGGGACCCTATAGGACAGAGCGGAACTGCCCCATAGAGTTTCCAAGGTGGATTCAACTGCCGCCCTTTTGGTTAACAGTCATAACTCTTAACCACTGCACCACCAGGGCCCTGCCTATTAGATTACAGCCTAGGAAATCCTACGGTGCAGTTCTACTCTGTCCTTAGGGTCACTATGAATCAGAATTGACTCAACAGCACACAACAGCAGGCCCAAGGAAGAGGAGAGGGAGCAGTTACTGGAACCCAGAAGGAGATAATTGTATTGAGTTGGCTGCCTTGAGATGAGCAGCAAATTTTAATTAAGGAACACAGCTAGCCCAAGAGGAACTTGTTGGGAGGACACCATGGAAATAAGTATCCCTACCTCTCTCCTCCTTCCCTGTAATCTCTGGCTAGGGGTCCCCACTGGTCAAACCCAATGGGAAGCCAGCGGCAAGACAACCATGGATGTGAGGTCCACAGGACAACAGAGAGCAGGGAGGAGGCGCAGAGGAAGATATCTCAGTACCTCCTTTGTGACGGAAATCTGCTTCAGTGATACGTACTTTTGTTTGTACAGCAAATAAAGTGAGCGCTAACGTCACCAGAGCTGTGGCTCCTGTTGCCCATAACACTTCCTCGGCATTATAGAAACTAAAACCAGAGACTGTGGTTACTATTCAAATACACTTAAAGAAAAGCATACAAACAAAGGAAATGTGTATCACAGACTTACACTGATACGGCTCCTAGCAGCAGCCCTTGAAGAATTGTCTAAAAACAAAATTCACAATAAATCAGAAGCTGATTCCTGAGGTATGAGGCACAAGCACAGACTGGGAGGAGATGATGTAAGGCCTGTGAGTCAATGCAGGTCTAAGGAGCAATGGCGAGTATGCACCGCCATAGTGCACAAAGCTACAGGGTGGTTGTCAGAAGTAGAATAACAACATTTCCTTAACATTCTCCCAAAAAATGACAAGAGCAAATTCTTTTGTTGGTAAAATTTTCTTAGAACACAATGGTGACTTTCAACATATTCAGTGAATTAAATGTGTATTAATTCTGAACGTGGAAACCATATTTTCATTAATCATATGGGGCCATCCGCATAGTATCAGGGCAGGATATGCTATTTCTCCTAGTGCTTTACCAACAGTTTCACTACTGGCCGTTTCTATAGTGTCTGGGTGAGAATAAAATACTTCTTCTAAGACCTCAGACATGGGAGGAGAATTGAGAACTTCTCAGTGCCAGGAGATGGGACTGGAGGGCAATTACCCACAGAGCATGGAGCTGGACCTGTAGGTGCCAACCGAGGGCTAGGAGGCGGCTACGTGAAGCTGTGTGAGGGCCTGGGCCAGGGCTGGAGAGTTCCCATTGTCCAAAAGATGCTGGGATCTGGGCCTGTACGGGCAGAGTGCAGCATAAGTGAGAGGCAGGGCTGAGAGCCAGCAGGCAGTCCAGCTGGAGGATAAGGCCAAGAAAGGTAATGAGGATGTGCTCTGGCCCGCCCTCAGGACTGGGGACAGCAGGCACAGCGAATGGGAACTACAGTGAGCACTGGTTACAGGGCCTGAAGAAATGCCTGAGCGATTCAGATGCTCGGTCAGAGGCAAATCCAGAGACTTGGCTGACCTGCTGATCCATGAGGAGAGCCAGGAAAGAATCCTGCAGACTCAGGGAGTAAAACTGAGCAGGCACATCCTACCCGAAATACCAGAACTGCTAGAGGGGCTTGAACTTCAGCTAGCCAGCTACGCACAGAATCAAAAGACTGGAGAAGAATTAGAATCCAGGGAAGTCCTGGGTTGCCTCTCTGGATTTCCCAAATCCAATGGATAATTGCCCAATTCTCTACTTTGTTAAGCTTAGCTAAGTAGGCTGTCTTTATTTCCATTGTAAGAAAAGATGTATTTATTCAAGTCACACAAAAGGCTTTAATAAAGTGCTTGCTTCCAATCTGCCTCTCAAGATTAATTTTCATCCTCTTCTACTAGCTCAGTTGCTTCATATTTCTCCGTTTTTGGCAGCACATGAAAAAGCAGCTCTGTGTGTGTATGCGTGCGTGTGTGTGTGTGTGTGTGTGTGTGTGTGTGAAAGAGGGGGAGAGAATGAGGAAACTGGTTTCAAGCTGGAAATCGTCTTTCAGTTTGTGAAAGAGTAGGAAAGTGAGTAACAAGATGACTTAGAAGTCAAACCTGCCCGATGACTTCAAGAGCTCAGAGCATGGACTCAAGGGGCCAGAATCCTACAGGGCACATGCTATCTTCAGTGAATGTGTTTTACTTGTTTCCGTCAATTCATCTTCTGAAATGGTTTTCTTCACATATTCCCTCACCCTTGGGGAAGACATTGAATCTAGAAAATATAACTAATGCTTTGCCCCTCTAGAATATGTCTTCTCTTAAATTGTTATCTGCTCTGGGGTAAACTGCTTTGAGGCAAAAAGCTCCCAACAAGTTTTATTTCTTTTTATAATAAACATGAAAATTTTAAAAATGAAATATTCAAAAGTGTCTGGAAAAAATAGTTCCTTCCCCCTACCTGGTGGCTTCTGCTTCCAGATGTCAGTGCTCTGTCAGTGCAGGAAAGGAGGCCCCACTTGCTCACCTGGGCAATATCCAGGTGATAAGGAATGTCCCTCAATGCTCTGGCAGCTGAGAAAATGCCCAATTATGGGAACCATAGAGCCAGTCTTCTCCAGCCTTGGGAGAAGGCTATTCTCCCCAACATACAAATCACAATGGATGCTGGACCATATGGATGCTAAGAATCTCGTCATTGGTCATGTGTCCTTCCTTGGTTTGGCCACCAGGAAGCTCAGAACCAAGTCTGGGATCACCACACTGACGTATATAGGACTTGGAGCATTTTGTGCACTAATTTAACCAACCTAGTTGTCTGCTCTTATTTTTCCTTCTGTCCGATTTCCCCATCAATTTATCTTCTTATATGAGGGATATTTCTATAAGTTACTTCAAATCTGATTTGGAACCAGACAAGGAATAAATCAATTGGTAAATAAATATTTTTTATATGAAACCGTGGTCAACACTGCTTGGGAGGAAACGCAAACTCTGCTTAAAAGAATCATTTGTGGACACAATCCTGAATCACACTGGGGTTGTTCTGGATTTTCCCAAGAGGAGCAAAATGCCGTAGGAGTTACTATCAGTGTACTTCAGAGAGACCGCTGCCTCCAGCAAGCGAGAGGTTTGGTCTGACCCGGGGAAGTGGGAGAAAGAGAGTCAGAACAGGGGGGATGCTGACGAGTCCCTGAGGAGGAGCCCTGTGGCCGTCCCAGGAGCTGAGCCCTAGGTTGGGATGGGGGTGAAATGATAGAAATCCAAACAGGCTCAGGAAATCTGGGTGCGCCAGTTACCTGCCGATAGCTGGCAAGATCCTGGGGTTCCCATGGGTAGCCCAGAGAGGAACTGTCTGTAAAATGGGGAGCCATGCAGTTTCCTGTGGCCCAGAGTAGCCTGAATGACAGAAAATGGGCAAGGCAGATGTGATGAGGCCTTGTAGGTAGAGGCTTCGGACTACCAGGAACCATAACAGGGATAAATGAGGTCAGCTAAGGACCAGAACCCTCCTGCTCCCAACTCTCTGGCACTGGAAAAGCCCTCCTGAACTGAGATGCAAGTTGGGGAAACAGGGGAGAACCTAAACTCAGAGAATGTTCCTGTCCCCAGTGGGCCTTGAAATAGAAATTAAGTACATTTTAGGAAAATTAAGAAAATGACGTTTCTTCACATGAACTACATAAATGTGGAACGCACTATTTAAAGAAATGTGTTTGTTGAACAAGACAGAGGTCCACCAACAGTTAGATTAACTGTTCCTGAAATGTAACCCAGACATGGGAGTGGGACCCCCTGTAGCCTTAATAGAGGCAAGTTGGCCGGCATAAAGCAGTAGTCCAGGATCCCCAAATCCTCCAGTTCACTAAGAGGGCGTGGCTACTATCTCACAAGTAAATGTATTACATCATCACAACCAGAATTCAGCCAAGGGAATGTCTCACAAATATTTTCTATCTGTATTATTCCACAGGAAGAATTTCCACAATAAAAGGAACAAATCTAATAATGTGACAAAAACATATTATAGAGGTGAGCTAGCATGCGTGTTAACAAGGTTTACTTACAAACAATCCCAGGAGAATGTAATTTGCAGGCACCTGGCGACGAATATGCCCACAGCAAGCCAGTACAAAAAGTATAACAAAAAACACTGGCCTGAAGAATAATTTAAAACCTTGTGTTATTTACTTCCAATGACTACATTATGTGATATATGTTATATAACATTAT